TAATCATGTCTTGCACTAGGGGCACAATTTCTCCTGTTATCTGAGAAATTATTTCTGATTTCATTTTTTCCAGATCCCGTTTTGTTCCCAGTTCAGTGGTTCCAGGTGGTTGAGTATCAGAGTGTTCCATCTTTTCCATCTCATTTCCATTTGCAGTTGCTGTAGGTGATCTGGAAGTCTGGTTTTGAGACTTATTTAAGTGTTTTCTCATTTCGACTGGGGCGGGGGGCTGTTAGCCCCTCCACGGATTACCTCCTCTGAGCTGGGTGAGGTGGCCCAGGGGCCGCGAGCAGCGGTAGGGTTGGTGACCCCAAAGCCCTTTCCTGTGGGCTGGGAGCAGCCGGAGGGATGGTGGTCGGGAAACCCCTTCCTCTGGACCAGGAGCAGTGGGATGGTGGCTCAGAAGCCCCTTCCTCTGGGCCAGGAGCAGCGGGACAGAAGGTGGCCCAAAAGCTTCCTCTGGGCTGGGAGCAGTGGGACGACGGCTCAGAAGCCCCTACCTCTGGGCCGGGAACAGTGGGACTCAGTACCTTGGTCTGGTGGTCTGATGTCCTCTGCGTCTTTGTATTGTGGTGGCTGCCTGTCTGCAGTGGGGTGATTCGGTGTCTTCTGTGCGACTCAGGACCTCGGTAGGGCATGCACAGACCTGCCTGTTTGTAGTGGGCTTATTGGGCATGTGTTCTGCGTGACTGGGGACCTCAGTGAGGTGTGGGAAGATCTGCCTGTGTGCAGCGGGGTGATTAGGCATCTTCTGCGCTACTCAGGACCTTGGTAGGGCGTGCACAGACCTGCCTGTCTACAGCGGGCTGATTCGGCGTGTCAACTATACTAATTTAGATGATTTTTCGATACACAACAATCCTTCCCACCCACTTAGGAATATGTATCTGAAATTTAAAACAACTCTGTATTTAATGTGTGGTTTTAGAAGGTTGCTATTTCAAGAAAAATTTGGGAAAGCAAGATTGATAGAATAACTAGAACACACATGATCAGATTATTCATAGGAATACATGCAAATGTCACAAATTCCTGAAAATCTAAGCTTATCCAGTTAGAATTTCTGATCATACAGAAGATTGTTTGGCTTTATGGAACTTCCTGTTTTTTCATGTAATGGTTGGGGAAAACTGAGTTAAATCATTTATCTGATCTATGGAGGCTAAGAAGCTTCATCTTTTGACAACATCAATATAAAAAGGCCATGCTTAATCACAAATTTGTGTTAAAGGATTTTTTTTGTCTAGTTATACAGATTATAGAAAATCTAAACCTGTTTGTACTCACATTGACAAATTCATCTATATACAATTTAGATTGGTTTGAACAGTAAAATGTGCTGATGTATAATTCTTTTTTAAGTTATCTCTTCAATCAAATCCTTTAAGGTTGAACTATAATAAGAAACTAATATGTTCAATGAAATAAAATTCTAGACTTTACCTTCATTTTAGTTGCTTGCAGTTTTTTTACCAAAATACAATCTTCTAAGTATTAACTTTAGGTATACTTTTCTTAGAGTGTTTAAGAGACAAATATTTAAACTTAAGGGGAGGAAATTAAAATGTAAAAAGTAATTTGGGTACATAAGGGAAGGTAAAATTTCCATGTACACTTTAGTAATATGAGTTACATAGAATAAATTCCAAGTTCATCTTTAAGTGCAAAAACTGTTTGCTTAAAAGGCTTACTAAGTATCTGGAACAATGATATGTCTCTGTTGGTGATTGCAAATTACTTACTGATTGATGAAGGTAATCTGGGCTGTATCAGCAGAACGGCCTGACAGCTGGCACTCAGCAGGTCTGGATAATTGTTGCCTCCTCTAGATTCATTGGAGCATTGACTAAATTGACTTGCTCAATTGATTTTCTCAGCACCATGGAGTCACAGCTCTGTCTGTGGTCCTTATAGCCAAGTTAGAAGGCTTTTGGACTGGCCTGATACTAATAACATCCCCCAGCATGTGCCTTTTTCAGAAGTTCCTCCTGGAACATTTGCATGCATATTGAGAAAATTCAAGATTCTAGAATTCCTTGAAAACCATAAAAGTATGGGCGAGTATATGGGGAGAGTGTATAGGGACAGCCAGGTGTCCAGGAAGAAAAAAGAAAGTGTGGCAGGGGCAATCCCCACATCCATGCAGTGTGTTCATGTTACTCTGGTGGAACCATCATCAGTGTTGGTTGTCTTCCCACAGGATAAAAAAGTATAGTTTACTTGTTCTCAAGAGCAAATCTGCCTAGGCACTGAGGAAATGTGGAAAAGCTAGGAGGAGAGAAGCTAGTAGCAAGAAGGGGTACCTCCAGACGCTGGATAAAAAATGTTAACCACACAAGTCATGTCACCCTTGTTTTTCCCTTGGCTGCATTTCCTATGCTGAGCTCTGGTGCCACCCCCAAGCTCCAACACATACACTCACCTAAACTCTCTATTCTCATTCTGCCAATGCCAAGCAGAGGAGAAAGAAAATATGTGTGAGCCACTTGTAATTTCAATCTATTTCTGCTTTGTCTTGTCAGATTTTTGAGGGATAGCTAAATGTGTTATATGTAAGTTACATTTTTAAGAAAAGCAGTTCAAAATCTTTTAATTTTTCTTTTTCTTTATTCTTTTTAGGGAATTCCTGGATTTGACAATATAATACAAGGACCCAAGGGCTTGAAAGGAGAACATGGAAGACAAGTAATTACATGGGCATTTGAAAGCAAACTTCTCAAATGATGCCATTACTGTGAGGCTCAAGTTCTTAGTATCAGAATGGGAAATGCCTGATAAAGATTTTGGTATCAGAGTGTAAATACTTGGTAAAGGAAAACTATTAGGAGCAAAAAGATCTTTTACTTCTGCTTATCTACTATTCTCAGATTCAGAAAAACATTCTCTTCTTATTTGGGGTGACTTGCTTTACTAAGCCATGTCCTTGAGATCTTCATTCATGAATACAAACATCTAAACTCTAACTTAAAATGTAGGACCAGCTGACTTAAAAAACAACAACAACAACAACAACAAACACTGCTAGCAAAAAACTTTTGGCCTTCTCAGTATCTAGAGGACATAGTCCCTAAAAAGACATAGTATTAATGTGATAAAAAGAACAAAATCTGGTAGAGCTAAATGGCCCATACCTCCAAGGCAAATCTCTTAGTACTGATCTCATGAAATCTTATAAGTCACAATTTTTTCAACTTAACCTTCTTTTAAAGATTTTTTTTTTAAAAAAATGATTATTTGAAAAAATGTGTTTCTCTGGTTCCTCTTGATGGCAAAGGTCCTTTTATAATTCTACCCAGGGAAGGAGTCTGATATGGTGGAAAGAACTTTGGAGACAGGCCTATGTCCTGACTCAGGCTCTATCTCTTGCTAGCTTCATGGTCTGGGGCCACTTTCTACAAACTTCAATTTTTTCAATGCAAAATAGGGTAAAGAATGTATATTCATATGTTCCAGACTCATAAATTATTCTATACTTTTGCCTCTTGGGAAGACTTATAAGTATTTTGAGATTTAACCCACAGTGTGGTATTAACATACACAAGTTAACCAAAGAAGAAATCCAAAGGCAGAAATTCAAACCAGGTATAGTCATTCCTGACACATAGCATGCTATACTAGGGTGACACAGTGGGGACAGTTTGATTTGCATACTCTGTGACACATGCCCCAAACACAAGTTAGACAGTGATAATGAGCAGATGAAGCCACGTTGTGGGTGTTTCGTCCTGCTGTTCCTCAAGGCCCAAATGGAGATGTGATTTATGAGCAGTGGAGGTTAATGCCACTTTCCAAAGGAAGAGCGCTGTCCTCCCCAGAGCACAAGCTGATGTTGAAGAGAAACTGTGTCGATGCTGTGTAACTGCTTCATGCATCTATTTGTTCCTTTGACAGGGTAGAAGAGGCTGGCCAGGTCCCTCTGGAACACCAGGCTCCAGGAGAAAGACAGTAAGAGCCCAAGACCTTCTACACAGAGAGAACATGATTCCAGTAACTTATATTGTTATGAAAATGATTGATTGTGGGAAGTAGGTGAGATGGTTCTAGAGAGGGTCATTATCCTGTGTATGCTGACCTAGGGTATTGCTCAGGATAGGACTGGTAAAAGGCTTGGGAGAGTCCCTGAAACTGAGGGAGGAAAGTGCTGGCTGCAGGGAGATTATGCCTCAGGAGTGAAATTAACAAAGCAGCCAACAAGGGAAAAGGGTCAAAATTTGGCCTACTTGCTAGGCTAACTGAAGCTGCCAGTGATGTCATTTTAAGTCCAATTTTATGACTGTTAAGAAAAGTCAGTCTTGGTATAGGCATATATCTGAGGGTTAAATTAAGTTACTTGTGATAAAATCCTTTGCAGTTATTTTTTTGTTCTGTTTTGTGGAATTTTAAAAAATTTTTGTGGAGGATTTAAAAATGCTTACTTGAAAAAAGTTTCTGTGCTTGACTGCTTAGAAAAGCACAGATTATAAAAGATAAACTTTACCCAATAAGGAGAGATAATTTTCATGAATTCAACAAATTCACTAACCTGTGTTAGAGTCTAAGTTAAGCCTATCTTGTCTCATTTTGCAGCATTTTTTTTTCATTATTTAATTCTCCATCCTCCTCCAAGTTCCCTCCAAAAACATGTTTTAAAACTGGCTGCCATGCTCCATCAAGAAAATAGTTTTGGATTTTGAAACATACTCATCATCTTCGCAAGGCAGCGAAAATGGAGAAAAAGACAAGAGTCCACATTTAAAACACAGAGAATTTGCTGGCTAGGAAAGCATTGTACTAATGCTATTTTAATGCATATAAAGATAAAAATTCATTTACTATTCATTCACTTTCTAAAAGGGTGTAGCAGGCTTACATACCCTGGAAAATATTTTCAACTTAAAGAATATCATCCAGGAAATTCTGGGATAGGAGTGTGTGAGTTTATGGTTTTATACCCTCTAGAGGCTAATGCAGCATGACTATGTATTATTTAAACCACATAGCTCCCAAGAAATGGGGCCTCATCTTGGGTTATAGATTCAGCTGTGTTAGTCAGAGGTAAAAGCAGGGCTTCCTGCTTTTAAAAATGGCAAAATCAGTGTGTTTCCTATATTATTCCACTCCTGTGTAACTCACCAAAAACAAAAGAAATGAAAACTAGGGAAGCAAACAATGAAGCTTCAAGTCACAAATAAAGACAAATAATGGGCAACTATGCTTAAATTTGGACCCCAATGAAGAACAGTTTGGAGAGCTAAACATAGAATTTAGATCTTGAGCCAGCATCAGAGTTCTATAAAAGTAACTTCCAGGGTCCAGAAGGATCTAGTGAGAAAACCCTAGGAGCACTATAGATTTTGAGAGGGACAAGAAATATCTCCGAAGCAACACGTTGGCAGAGGAGGCAGAAGGGATGAGGAAGTGAAAACTATTCCATTTGTTATGTGCAGCTAGCAGCCAAGGCCATGGAGGCTGCAGACAACGAGAAAAGCAATAGTGACCATCACAATATAGAAAAACTGGGGGAGGGGGGAGCTTTGGGTGAGGAGTCTCTTAATTGGCAAAAATTGGAGGAAGATGTAGCCCTGAGGTGAAAGAAAGAATCTATCTGATAAAAATGTATTTGAGATAATGTGGCTGTGTCAACGCTCTGGCCCAATCCCAGCTCTAACTCCCCATGAGTTCTTAGGCAAACAGATGCCTCTATTCAAATATGGTTAATGATCAGAAATGTTGCCAATCCTTATGAATCAACCAGATGATTAATAATCAGAAGCTGTGAGAAAGGGAAGAAAAGCCATGACCAAAAGACAAATGAACTCTGAGGAGGAATTAATTATTTAAGGAAAAAAGTAGAATCCTGGTTAATGGTTTTTCAAAGTCTCAAAGAGAGGAAGACAACACTATTGTTCCTTAAAAGTTCAAATAATTAGCAAGGCTATTGAAGGTGTAGGAAACAAACAGGCGGCTGTGCTTAGGGAGCAACAGAAGGAAAATTTAGAGATGTAAGGAACAGTAGAAATATCATCAACTGACTTTTAGTTCCTTTTAATTTTTCTTCTATTCAAGTAAAATTGTAAAATTTTAATTTTAAATAACATTAATAGCATAACCCCCTTTTAATCAAAAGTACCACTATTTAGAATTCTACCTGTAAAAGTGCCATAAGAGGATGTCAGGAATCATAATTACCAAATGTTAATAATAGCTATTTCTATATAGAGGATTTGGGGTAATTTAAAAATTTTTATTCTGTGTATTTTCTTCAATCAATTATTTAAAAAATGAGCATGTATCATTTTTATAGTAGCAGTAAAGTCAGCTTTTAAGAAAGAAGAAAAATCTATACAATTCACTGCAAAATTACAAAATGTAGATAGATACTGGACTGAGGATGTAGCTCATGGTAGAGGACTTACTTAGTATCTTCCAGGTCTTGGCTTGATCCCCACCACCACCAAAATATTAAAAATGTAGGTAGATAGGAGCATTGAGGGCTCCTCAGAGCAATAAGATTCTGCTGAACTGGTAAGTGATTGGAGGATAGCCACGCTAGGATGTGGCATGCCCAAAAGTGAATAATAGATAAACCAATCTGACCTTTATTCATTCGACAAATATTTATTGAACACCTGTAAGGCACCAGAAACTCCACTAACTACCAAGGCTACAAACTCAAGACATGATTTTTTTTTTCTTTCAAGGGACTCAGGATACTGTTACAGAGCATGATTTCTCGATCTCAGTACTATTGGCATGAGTCAAATCATTCTTGTTGTGGGGGACTGTCCTCTGAGTTATCGGATGTTAATAGCATCCCTGACCTCTACTCCTAGGTGTCAGTAGCACCCCTGATTTGTGACAACAAGAAATGTCTTTAGGTTTTTCTAAATGCTTCATGGGAAAGTAGAGGAAGGGCTCAACCCCCTCTTCCAGTTAAGGATCACTGATGTAGAGGAAGACAAGCCTGCAGGGTTGTTACCAGTCTATACCAGGAGACTGTCCTAGGGTGTAGGTGGGGAAAATAGGAGTTCTGGCTCTTTCTGAACCAGACTATGCTGAGAATTAGAGTACATTTTTGTGCCAGTGATAATGAGAACCAACTGTAACCTCAAACCAAAGCATGGCTTCATGCCTACCCAGTCTAGCACTGTTAGTTATGCTCTGTCTCTTTCATTCCTCTTGTCACTACTTACAGGCACCTGAAAGTGCCCTAGGATAGTCAAGTATCATTGTGAATGACATGTCATTATGATTCAATGTTAATGTGATGTTTTATCATTAAGAATGTCCTGCTTCATTCATGTTGATTCTCTGTCCCAAATCAGTCTGTGCCTATCCAGAAAATCAGGCCCTGATAAACATCCAGAAGTCAGACCATCTGTGACCAAGTATCTGAGTATCTTTGGCTCTACAATGTCATCCTCTTGGGTCCTTTTGGAGAGATTTTTCTTCTTGATATGTCTAATCACATTTGCTTTCACCATAAATCAGGTCGCCTATGTGTGTTATCAGACAGTCACCAGCCCTTGGGCAAATGCTTGAGACTTGAGATCTCATCTTTCCCATGCAAAATATTTTAAAATGTTAGATAAAATTGCAAAATCATCTTCAATTTTCTTCTTTTTCTTTTTCTTTCTTTCTTTCTCTTTCTTTCTTTCTTTCTTTCTTTCTTTCTTTCTTTCTTTCTTTCTTTCTTTCTTTCTTTCTTTTC